ATTGAAGATAACCAATGTTATGTCGAAATGTGTCCCCAAAATAAATCACTTCATTATGCTTATAAATTGTTGTTTGCCAACTTATTATTATATTTAGTGTTGAATTTGTGACCTATAAATTTATCTGACAGTAATATTTTTTAAATCCAGAAAACTGGTAAGTTCTTTATTTTTATTGAATCCTGAACCAGTGATTCAATTAACAAAAATTTCTACTTTAACATACAAGAGTAAATCGATTATTACATACTCTGTTAATAAGATATTGTACCTATTTTTTTATTAGAGTATGAAACTTGAATCTATAAACTAACCCAAAAAGAGTTCTTGATGACTTTTAGGACAAGCAAGTGCAACCCACACAGAAAATGCTATGGAGCTAATGAAGATTGTTTATGACTTTGTTGTTCTAGAAAATGTCAAGGATGACAGACGATTGAGTGTTAAGGTTGGTATTGTGTATTGTTTAACTGGATCAATCTGTAAACATATGTTTTATATATTGAAGTGTTTAAGGCTGGTTAGGTTTTGTCCTCAAATTGGCACAGTTTTCTTACTACCCAAGGTAATATCTTGTTTCCTACAGGCTGTTATATATACTACACTTGCATTTTGTGTCAGAAGTATTAAGATTTCTTAGTGAATTATAGTGTTATGTCTCACTAAATATTCTCACACTGTTACTATCAAGTAAGTATTACACAGCTTAGGTTTAAGTGATCAGTTCTAGAAGCTGGTATATTGTCTGTTATATTATTTTTTAAAAGTAGTAACATTTTAAGAGTACATGACATTTCAGAAACATTCATATTGCTTCAATAGTAGTCTAGTTTACTATTTTGTTGAAATTTGAATGTACACATGTACATTTTGTGATCTAGTACCTGTTGTAGTATTTCTGGTTTAGAAGAGTAATAGCATGCAGGTAAACTACCCTTGCATAACCAGGGATTTCAAAACATGACTAGATAGAATATTAATGTAGGAACAAGTGTAGAACAGAGGAAATAAACAAGTTTGGTGAGCCTTAAATTTCTTTAGGTTGAGAAGATAAAATCAAGGTAAAACAATACCAAAATGAATCGGTAATTAAAGTATGGAAGCATACAGTTAACATACACAGATACCTACATGAAAACAAGGTACTTTATCGTTCATCTTGGCTCTTCTAAAAGTGCCCAAGACTACTCTTACAATCTACAACTGACCAATCACGAATAGGATTTCAAGAATCTGGGGGTATCTTATGAATATGTTGGTCATAAAGCAGTCTTTCATACACAAAGTAAGTCAGTACACAGTACACCTATCCCATTAAATAAGAGATAAGTTCCTTGACTGGTTAAGCTACAGAAAATAACACCTTGAGCTGACTCAGTTGGATTTAGTATCTTCCATATCAGAACTTAGAAGTATAGAAAATTTTTTAATAAGAAATGTGTAGTATAGGAAAGTAAGGTTTTTAGTATTTTCTTATTACAACCCTCTTCTCCCTTTTCTTAGGCTTGTCCTCAAACTGACTTTAATTCTAATTTTAAAACTTTAAAGTGTAATGTGGTGAAATCACATGAAAATTGCTGCTTTTGGTAAGATGAGACAATCAATTTGCCATAGATCACCCCCTTTTTCCTTAAATGAATTATAAATCTCTAAACTTTAAATTAGCATGTGATGAGGCTCTCCCGCATGCATACTTTAAGATAATGTAACTTACTACTGATTTTTTTATTATTTGCATGCTATGTAAAAGATAATTAGTTAAGTTAGTGGATTTTCTTGTTTAGTTTCTGAAGTAATTCCTTTGGTAGGTACTTTATCATATACAAGAACCTTGTTGTTGTGCTAAATTAAGCATGTTGTGAGTAGATGAGAAAGGAGGACCACCATATGAAAGTCCACCAATGAGTGTAGTGCTTCATTTTGGTGTTTTTTATTTGAAACAACTGTACATAATTTCTAAAATGAGGAAAGAGATAAGTTTGGTACATAAGATAGAGGAAGGTAAATACTATGTATTTATATTAGTTTTAATAATAACCATTATTTTATTGCACTGTTTGTTTCAATAAAGTGACATAGCATCATTAGGCCTATATATTTTCGTGACATATAAGCATGTATGAAAAATACCTTTCAGGTCCACAGTTATAGATGTAATGTGTAATGGAGTAGTATATAGCTATGTTTATTCATATGTAGCAGTTTTTATTTCATTACAATAGTAAATTGACAAAAAACAAAAACAAATTTATATATATAAAAGGTCCCATGGTTATTATGGTGTATGTTTGAAGTGCCTGTGTTTCAGATATTACAACATATGAATTATTAATTTTCATGAATGCAAATGCAGAAGTGGCCAGTATAATGCCACTAGGCTAGAAAGGATTAAACAAAATTTAAAATACAAATAAAACCCTTTTATACAAAATGCTGACATTTAGAGTATATACATATTTACAAACTTAATTTCACACATATGTGAGAAAAACTTAATTAAATAACATAAATATATATTTAGAAAGATAGATATTCATAAACAGGAGCTCTAACAAGTTTATATAGTTTATATGAGCTAGGGACCCAGTGACCTCTTTCTTTCTTTTCCCATATGTTGGATGACATTCATGGCCTCAGCTAATTTCTTTTAGGTCTCATCTAATGCAGTGCAGCCTCTACTTAATGAATTACTCTGCTGCCCATGTGTTACCTTGTTTCCTTTCCCATAGTCGTTTTTCCACCTAGAGTTTGTTCATTTAATCATCCATGCCTGACAATGGTTACACCAGGACATCATTGCCTTCAGAGTGATGGTAAGAGGCTCTACCAACAGTTCCTAGGACCTTAGCCATCCTATTAGTGATGTCAAGGTGGTAGTGGTTATTGACAGGGGCTTTGAGTGTTTCTGGGTTGTGGAAGCAGCTGTGCCCCATCCATAGTTTGCCAGTTTCACTTGTTTTGTTAAATGAACTTTTTTAGGTGGAAATATATAGTTATATACAGCTACAAAAGTATCAAAGTTTTGTTGTAGGATGTATGGTTCTATCACATTATTGGATTCTTTATGCTTTTATAGTTTAATGAAGCTATTATGTTATTTGTTTTTACATCTATTATGTAATGGATAGAAAATAGCTTTTCTCAACAAGCACTGCCCTCTATTGGCACAAATTTTCAACACATGCCAGTAGCCTTCCATCTCCTGCTTCTGCATATCCACATGCAATTGATCATACAGCAGCTCTCCACCAATAGAAGTGCAACACCACTCCTTTCGTAACCAGCACCCTTTTCACATCTCCACTCTTTAATCAGTTCTTGAATGACAGTAGTACTTTAAAGATGTGCTGGTTTTTGCTCGTGGATTTGTTAAAATTTTACATTATACTACTGACTTAGTTTTTTATTTACTGTTTACATAAATATTCACATTTTAGTATTGTGAAAGGTTGCTTTTTTTTTCAAGCTTTTCTTACTTTTTCAGGGGCCTTTTTGCTAGCATATTGTGGATCCCACTCTGTGGCAAGTGGTGCTTGACTAGGTATACTTTTTTTTTTAAATCCTCACTGTCCATCCTGCAACCATACTCGATGTCAGTTACGTTGTAGTCCTTCCTACTGTAGGCTTGATGTACAATTCCAGATGCTGCTAGGTGTTGGTTGTATACCTCTGTTTTATTGTTATCTATGACTAAACAATTACGTTGCAGGTTTGGTTATGTACACCGTAGAGATGGGATGTTCCATAGGACTGCTAGTAGGTATTTCTAGTGAGTTTTTGCTTCATAAATATATTCAACTTGGACCATACACTCATGGACTAACATTAATAAATCAAACAGAGATTGCTGCCCATCTCTGATGCTCTGTGGTATTGAGACTCTTCCTTTCCTACTGCAGACCTGATTTATAATTCCAGATGTGCCAGGTTTGATTGATCGACACTGTTGATGTGGTAGCTCTGCTTTTCAAAATAGAGTACCACGGTCACCTATTACACTGTTCCAGTGGTGCATTCCTCCAGACTCTCCAGTGTGTTTTTCCCCCTTTCTTCTAGCGGAGTTCCTAGCCATAGAAGCCCGTCCTCCTGAGTGATGAATCATACCACTCAGTTGAGAGTAGGGCAGTGGCATTCTGCAGATGTTGCTGGCATATAACACTTTTTACTGTGGACCTGATGTTCAATTCCAGGTGCTGCCAGGTTTGGTTGTAGCACTATGCTGTATTACCGTCTATATATCTGAGTGATTGTTTTTTCCTACCGTGGCATTCCTCCTTTCTACCATCCTCCAAATGTACATTCCTGGTTGGTCTGGTTTTGGTTGGAGATGACCCGGTCATAATTAGTATCATGCGTAAATGGCATGGCATGACATCCTTCCTATCATGGACCTGATGTATAATTCCAGATACTGCTAGATTTTGGTTTAAGCACTCTGCCGGAAATGGTCCAGCTAAGTATGTCCTCACATGTGTGTTGGCCAGTATCCCTCCTACTGCAGACTAGATGGCAGATGGCCACTGCCACCAGGTTTAGAAGATGCACCCCAGGTTTGCAGTCCCTTCTCTTTCCATCTGCTGTATGTCGATTCCCTGCAGATCTGGTGTTGGTTGTAGCTGGATGCATGAACATTTGCATGTGGATGTGCAGAAGCAGGAGGTGGAAGACTAGTGGCATGCATTGAAAATTTGTGTTGATAGAAGGCAGTGCTAGTCGAGAAAACTATTTTGTGAATGGAGATAAATATCTATCGGAAATACATTTTCAGTGTAAGAAAATGCTAACTTTCCACAGTCATTGTTTTGTACTTTTCTTTGCAATCAATATCTGTAAAAACTAAAAAACTGTTAATTTTTGTTAAGACTAAAAACATTTGAATACAGTTTTGATTTCTCCTTTTTCACTACTCTCTGTTATTAAATTTGTATTAAAATTATTTTTAATCATTATGTTTCTTTACTTTTATTTGCATTCTTATAAAGTCATGATAACAACCTATCACCTCATGAATCAGAAATAGTTTGAATTTGGGTTGAGATCTGTTATTGTAATGCATAATTATATATATACTAGTAAAGACCTGCAAAACATCTGTGGTCAAATTAGTATCTTTATTGCAACAGTACTTCTTTAAATACAGGGTTTCTGGAATAATACAAAAGAATTCTAATCACAGACACTTAATCTATAAGTTCACTTGTATTAGGCCTAACTTTAGTTAAGTATTTATTAAGTACAGCCTACATTTGATAAAGAGATAAGTTAACACTGTAAATTGTGTACCTTTTTTGCTTTAGTTTAGTTAGGGTTAAACTTTACTGTACTTAATACTATCAATAAATAAACTTATTATTCTACAACCTAACATTAGACCTTTTTAGAAACTGATAAGCTTTTAACATATTGCTGTACAATATGTCTACTAAATTTTATTTACACATGTCTTTTATTTACATCTGTTGAAATGAAGTGTTTGAGCATGTGCATTTAGATAGTAATGTGTGTGCATTTTCAAGTCAGACAAAAACTGAGTATTATTATAATGGATGAATTCTTTCCATTTATTAAAAATGTGCACCAAAATATTAGTATCTTGTTGATAACAAAATTGAAAAAATAATAATTCTATTGTAAACACACACTTCACAACTGCTAGCAGATTATTATATAAAAGTAAAAATATAACTACAGTTAATTAACACAAAACTTAAATTTGGTATAAATTTTTCCACAGCTTTTAGAAGATGTTTTAAGCTTGTTGGACGTGTTGCTAGTGTTTGAAGATTATGCTGGTGAAGAAGGATGGCTAGAAATGGCAGAAATGGGACTTGGAATAATCTTAGTGTGTGCCTCGTGTGAAAATCTTGAAGTAAGTTATTATCTTGGCCATGAAATCAAATTGCTAGTAAAGCCAGAATTGAGAGTCTAGAGATTAAAGCTGATTTAACGGTTACAGCAAATTTTTAAAACACTGTGTAAAGTACAAAAACAAGATGTTAGAACCTGAACATAAAAGTCATAAACTGAGTTTGAATTGAAATCTTGTACGGCCTTGGAAGCTTGTATAAGCTACTTGCTTCACAGTCAAAGTGATGACTAGTTAATAAGTTATATTATATGTATCTTGTAGCATCATAACCATAAGTATTGTGATAACTTGAAATAATAAACATTTTTCTACACAATCAATGCCAGAAATTTAAAACAGATTATTACTTATTTCACAGTCCGAAGTTAGAAATAAAACCTAATGATCAGTCTTCATATTTACTAACACGACCCTACCAATGTGAGAATTTGAAATATTAGTATTATCACAACAATAACTAATCTGAAGTCTTGATCATTTAACAACCAGGGGTTAAAATTAAAAAAACAACAAAAAAACATTATTTATCAGAACAATCAATGCTAAAGATGTATTTAAAACTTGAATTTAGATCTTTCTCTAAACTATCAGAATGAGAAGAAATGATACTGGATGTGACTAAAAAATCATTGCCATCCTAAAGAGTTATGTAACAGTCTTTGTTTTGAGTGCAGCATAAAAACCTTGGTTGTTTTGGTAAACGTGCAACATACTTTGTATCTGAATCAGGATATGAATAAGTGTCACACCTCTCCTGGCAGCCCTGCAGTAATGTGTCATCTAAATTCTTTTACATTATCTAAAATATTATAAAGCCTTCCAGGTTCTGTCTTTACATAATGCCCACTTTGGTATATTGTCTCCCCAGTTGTTTCCCTGTTAACAATAATGTTGTCTTTTAGAAAGCAAAATCTATGATAAAAATGTTCAAGAGACACTCAGTATTTATAGTAGTCCTGTTTTCTTTACCTGAAAATGAAATTGAGAGATTTCTTGAAATCTGAATGTATGATATTTTCTTTGTTGTCTCAGTTGTGTGCAATAGCAACTGCCAAACTTCATGCACTGGTACAAACACGTCCCCATGCAAGCCTTAATGAAACATGCTACTTGCTGACAACAGTTGATCGTGTGCTGACCCGTTCTGTTGAAGGTATGACATTGGAATCACAGTATCTTTCTTTACTCTGCTTCATTCATTTAATGTCGAAGATTTGTAAATACAGTATTACATACACTGTTGTAGGAAATATAAGGTAGAATGATAGAATTATTTTGTTCATTCACTCTCATCTTCTTAAAGCTATTGTTAATACAGTAATTAAGATGTTTGATCATATTTCTGTAATATTTAAATTTGAAAAGTACAATAATTATTATCGTAGGACATGTAGAAGAATTAAGGAAGGATGATAACTGACTTGAATTGTTGTTCAGTCATTTTCATTCTCTGAAGATTGCGGACTTCAGTAACTGGAAGTAGAATGAATACATGAGGATATCCTACACTATTGCAGTTTAGTTGATCAGTCATTCCTTTGAGATTTAGGACATACCTAGTATTTTAGTGAATATTTAATTAAAGAATAATGGTTTCATAAATTCTTGATTCTGAGTCACTTATTCTCAGATTAATTGACAGAGGGGACATTAGAAGTTACATTGCTATTGAGTTATTGGAAGTAAACAATTTGAACTATTTTTTGTTTTAATACAGAAAGTGAGTAAAAATGTTTTCGTGTATGAATTCATGTTTAGGAGGTGTATACTTAAGTATGTAACTAAGAATGCTTTCATTTATAAAACGTACTTTAATTTCCTATTTAATATTATAAAGAAGTACTTTTATTTCTAATCCTTTCTTTTATTTTATTACATTAAGTGCATAGGGATTCTTATTTATTTCTGGCCTTCATTTTGGTTTTTACAGTGCGTGACTTTATGTATAGATTAGAAAATTTTCCACTTAAAATCCAGTCAGAAATATCGTTGGTTTTACTGTTTGTTTTCTGCCATAATTATCTAACAGGAGCATTTATTTGAAACAACCAGAATAATCTTTTATTTTTGGAATTTTTTTTGTTACAGAAATTTTATGTTGTGAATCCCAGTTTTTTTATTACAGTAGGAAACCAAAAACACTTTTCTTTCCACATCATTATTTGTATTTACTTCTATAAGTTATTTTAAACACCTTTTGTTTTAAATTATCTCAGAATTTCTGGTTATAGTAGATGACAAAAAAAACTCTTTTTTTTTTTTCTAGTCTCAATTTTTGTTCTAAGAGCTTAAAATAGGTTCTGGCTTTTGTAAGCTCTGGGTTAAATCTGGAATATGCAAACAAAAGCTTAAGAACTTTAGTTTTTGACAGATGTATTTTCACATTAAACTGACAGTCAGAATGTTATAAATGAAATAATTTGTAACTCAGTTTTTGCTTGGAAAGTTTACTGAAGTTATGTTCAGTTGATATTAATATTACTTAATAACTTTAAAGTTTACATGAATTTTCACAGCTGAAGTGCAGAAAAACTAAATGTGTATGGTCAAGAGATTAGACCTTTGATGGTGGCTTAATGTAAGTGAAGGAAGGATGGAAGCTTAGGTGTGGAATATGAGAAGTAGTCTCAGGCCATAAACTATTTAATTTTAAATTGATTTAAAACAAGCACACTAGATTTTTAAAATGGGACTGGTCTGTATTGTGAAAGCTGAAACTCTTATCACTTTTGCCATTCTTCAGAACCTGTTGTATATCTGTATAACAGAAGAATTTTAAATGAGTCACTGTGTAACTTGTCATACATATGATTTACCGTGATTAGAAATTAAGTATTTAATTCTCTTATAGTGATTAAAAATGCTACAGATAGGAAAACTGTAAGAGAAAATCACAGAGTTAATGAAAGGTTGATAGAAGAGAGAAACAAAGCATTTGTTTTAATATGTTTATGTTTTTTTGACAAGTTACAGTAGCATTTAAATTTTAACTCTACACACCATCTTTTACTCTATGTACTCTTTATTTTTTGTGCTAATGTTTTTTTTGCTTATTATTGAAATTTAATTAAGAACCTTACTTTTTTAAATATATTTATAATTGTTTACTTCAGTAGGTTTCAAGAACAGTAACATTTTTCTAATTAAAACTTGTTTATTACAGTAGGCAGTTATGGTAACTTTTGAACTTATGATAGTGTGCAAGATTGGAGAAAATCACAAAATGAAAAAAACTTGTAACTAAATACTTTAATAAAATATTATCTTTCCTCATACTTTCTAACTTTAATTTTTGGAAAAATCATTTCTTTCTTTTATTTTTTTAATTGATTACTTTTATAAATGAGTTAGACCAATAATTATTTTAATCTATATCTTTAATCCTTTATTAAAGTAGGTGATCAAGAACACTACTCTTTTCTTATTCCTGTGGTTCGAGCATTGCTGGACAAGGTGATTGGGAGTTTACAAGGAAGTCAATATTTACAAGGTCTGCCAGATACTGTGGCTGGTCCTGCATTTTTTGAAGACTTTCAGCACTATATCCTAAGTCAAGAGTGGCGATTGTTCATTAATAAAATGGTTAATATCAGAAGTTTTCTTATGTTAAAATAAAGTTTTTTTTATTAAGGAAACTACACCTAATTAATCTCCAATCTATTTCATCATGTTGTAATTTATCAGAAAGATACCTAATAGCATCCAGTCTGTTTTGTTTTGTTGATATTGATCATAGTAATTTTTTTGGTGTGAGGTTACCAGAATATTTTAGTTTTTTTATTAAATTTTGTAGTACATTATTTTATCAGAATTGTATCAATCAGAACATTTTTTTATATGATATTCTCCCTGTGATACCTTGTATTTTGCTGGAATGTCAGTCAGTAGTTTTTTTTTCCCTTTATCAGGTTTGTCTGTCTCATGTTGTGTTTTACTACAGTTTTATCTTCTGTACAATCAAGAAATTAGTTTTTAGTCACATAATATTGTCCTCCCAGTATCTTGTAGTTATTTAATTAGATTATTTAGTATTAAGATGTTAGTCTAAGTTACAGGGTTCGTACGCGTCCTGGAATGTCATGGAAATCCTGGAAAAGCGCGATTTTTTTTTCCAGT